AACCACATCATCGCGATGGTGCTAAACAGCGGAGCGGTCGAAGCAACAGCGCAGGAGCAGCAAAGCCCAAACGTGATCAAACGGAAGTGCATGCCGCCTGTAGCAGTCCGAGAAGGTACGTGTTACTTCGTGGTTTTGGATGTACGCTGTGAACGCCAGCGCGATTGTAGGGGATAGATATGTAGGGAGTAGCCGTGACGGATGCGGCAAAGCTCCGAACAGAGGGTGGGACGACTCAACGAAAACGCACAACTCAAGATTGCTGTCAATGGCCATGATGACAAGATAGAACTAGGAAGGCAGGGTGGCTCTATTGCGCAGCGTACGTCCGCATCACCTCAAGTTTTCCGTTCGCGAGCGCGCTCAGAAATAGATTGCGCTCCATGGCGGGAGGAGTTCTTGCTTCGACTGCCGTCTCCTTCTCCCTGAATCCCTGGTTGATGCTATCATCGGTATTTCCAGTAGCCTCAGTCCCTCGGTCAGCCCTGCTGCTAGTTGCCAACACAGCAGTGCAAGTAGTTGAGACCCCTTGCCCCGAAACCCGCTGGTGCACATCTCCGCTGCAGTGATGTCTCTCCAAGTACGTTGCGCTGATCGTCGACCGCGGTATCTTCCCTACGCCATCAGGTTCCTCCTTACACATAGCAGCCTTCGAATCTAGCCTCGGAATCTATGCAACAGCAGTGGTGGCACAAGTACACAGCAGCTCCTGGGGAAGAAGATAGCACGCAGCGGAAGGCCAAGGTGAGCTGGGATGCAGCAAAAGAGAGCAAGAGGGAGGGTGATGGGGGCCAATCGCTAGGACGGTGCTGTAGCAAATGGGGGGGTCCCTGTTTGGCTTGGGTTACGGTTTGCAGCCATGGCAGTGCGGGGGGATGCACCGCACTCTTTGTTCTCTCAAGAAGAGGATTGGGATGGCTTCGTTGGAACAGCTCGTCACCATGGGTTTCTCCGAGGACGAGGCAAAGACTGCTGTGGAGGTGCATGGAGTTGGTGCGTTGGACGTACTGCTTGGGGTTGCATCCCCAGCTCCACACCAGGCAAGCCCCATGGAGTATTGCATCCTTCCCTACAGCGGTGGAACTGCTGTGGATTCACTGCTGTGCTGTGCATAGCATTACGTATGCATGTGTACAAGTAGGGGACGAGCACTTCCTGCTGTATGTCACATTTGGACGATCGCGACATTTTTTCGGTCCCGCCGGTTAGATCGGGACATGATTTTGAATTCTGGCGCAGCCCACACGAATTGGGAATCAGCGAATCAATAAACCACGTCAAAACAAAACTTGTCGATGCAGAGCAACTGCTCTCTTGTCGGCGACCGCAGAAGCACTCCAAAGCTCCCAAAGTGGATGTTCAGGTGGGACTCTCATTGGCCGCTTGGCACAACCCACCCGAACACTAGACTGGCGCCCAGAACAGGCAGAACAAAAAACGCAAATCGATTACTCCGAGTACTGTTGTTTTTATGTTTTTATTCGTGGTGTTCGAAAACACCCAAGGTGATGTTGGCGTTCAGGCGCTTGACTAGACCACCGGGTAGGAGGAAGGAAGAGAGAGTGCCCATGACCTGGCTAGCTGACGTGGAGGACTATGTGCATCATCCTCTGGGGAAGCTTCCCGATAGATCCCTATATGCAGAACACTTGAAACAGCAGACGTCTCGCCGACAGAATGGACGACAGAGTGGACTACACACCAAATCACACAAACACATTATTTGTATTCGTTGGTACGATGCTATTCGATGTCACCGTCGAAATGGGAAAGGACTGAGGAGGTACACGTCAGGAGAAGTCCTGTGTCATCCTCCGGTGTGACGCTAGCTGGTGCGTCCGAAAAAGACATTCCACAAGGCATAAGCTGGCGGCTTCAATTCATGGGATGGAAACGCACGCGTTTAGTGCTTTGTGCGATCAACGCATGACCCACATGTGGCCAAGTGAGCTTTGGCAAATTGTGAGGAGGGACGGTCGGGGAAGGCAGAACAGAGCACCGCGCGAGCGTGTCGACTTGCCCTGACTTCCCCCAACGCCAGACACTCGCCAGACATGAGAACGGCAGAAAAATGCCCCCCATAAGAGGGAACTAGTCTGGGAGTGCAGTGTGTGGGCTCGCACAAAATGGATATCGCCACCATTTCTGCGAAGTTGGTGCATTTCGGCATCTTCTGAAGACTCGAAAGGGCACGGCCGCCCCCTTACCCCGGACTCGGCATGACCGTGCGTGTCGTGGAGTCACCAGCAAAAGCCGCCAGGGCGCTACGAGCCCTCAGGAACGGCTACGGAATACGGAATCATTTTCATCAGCACTGACAACTCGCACACGGTTGTCAAGGGCAGCACTTTACGCCATACGCGGATTTGGTGGGAAAACTGTGCCAGGCCAGGTATTGCACACTACGGCTCCATCCAGTGAATTCTCAACTGCTGCGCCCCAGGGACATGCCTGTTCATTTTTTCCACCAAGCTTCACGAATAATATAAATTCAGTAACGCTCTGGCACACACGTTGATCCAGGTCGTCTCTGCTTCGATCAGCCAATACGACATTCAGAACGGGAGATCTTCGTGCACGTGCATTTGCTTGGAAGCTTCGTTCACGGTTCTGGAGCGTTTGGGTGATGGCACCGCGTGGGCTGGCTCACCAGACGATGTAGCGGTGAGTCTCCCGTCTTCTTCTGTGTCAAATGTCTTCCGCAACCACGTGTTTGTTGTGGTGGACGATCCCATGGTTCTGTTGTCGGGTTACTTCTGGTATTGTGTTTTGCTCTGTTTTGGTAGGATTGCGTTTGTCAGCATCGACCCTACACGTGGCCGATCATCACTCTGTATTATCCGTTTGGCCTCGTTCAGAACTGGGTCAACACTGGGGTGGCCATGTACGAAGCAGTGGCAGCCACTGGCACGCTTGCAGTGGAGCACACTTCTGTCGCTGAAATTCTCGCAACTGTTGCCAGGTGACATGATGGCCTATTTCTTGGAGATGTCAATGGTGTTCGACAAAATCATCAGCAGGTCGAAGGGTCGTGAAATGTTGGCTGCTGTGCGGCTGCGGCTGGCACTGCGTTGGTGCGTGCTCGAGGCTCACACATGATCTCTGTTGACTTGCTGACAGCGGCTAGTTGCTGATTTCTGTGTGATGCAGGTATCGTGATGCATTGCAGCCCGCAACCGATAAAGTGACCCATCAGGGCTTGCTTGGCTCGGACACGTCAATAGCCAGAGTTCTTGGAGAGATTCGGGGTGAGCGGCGAGATCAAAGCAGGCCTGTGGCGGTCGTGATCACGAAGCCGCCGGAAACGGTGAGGCGCGCTAGGGTTCTGCTCTACCGCTTCGTTTTGTTGCAGCCATCCGTCAGGGTGCGTGCAACTTTGCCCCGCTTGTCGCTTGTACTGTTGTAGCAGGGTTGCACGCGAAGAGTCTTCTGCCGCGGGTTTAGGTAAACATTTGCGGTGTAGTGTGGAGTATCAATTTTCTGTCCCGGAATGTTGACGGATCTGAATTTTCTGCATCGCACCAAGAGCGTTTAACAAGTGAGTGACGTTCTGCGGCGGAAAAGTCAAATGAGTATGAGTACAATGAACCCGCTGGAACTTTGCTCGACTGCCTTAGGTGGTCTGCTTTTTGCCTGCGGAGAGCCAAGCAGGAGGAGGTGCTGCGACCACAGGCGCACCTTCGACCCGACAATGGCTGCTGTTTGATTCGCATCCCCGCCCACAGCATGGGTTGGTTGGGGCAAGCGTTCGTTCGTTCGGGGCGGAGGGAGCTCTTGTCGAGGCGTTGAACGACATATTTCCCGTGGTTGACCTCGGCACGGACAACGTTATGTCGAGCATGTACAACATGTTCGACTGTGTCCCCTTGTCCTTGAAGAGATAAAAAGAGTTGCAAAAGCACTCTGCAGGTACTGGGTTGTAGGGTTGTTTCTTCAATCCTTTGGCATGGCGTCTACAATTAGTATTGCTGGCCCGACGGTGGGCTGTGCTTGCGCACCTCCGCAAGAAGTGCTCCTTTGTCAAGCAGCCCCTGAGTGCAGCGTTACCATAGTTCGAAGGTGATGCGCAACTACAAGCGGGCGCAACATGTCGGCATGGAGCAGGTGGAGTGTGTAACAACGCCTGGCTTTAGTTGTGCGATCAGCGCTCACGCACATCGATCATATACCCGACGTGCGTCCCTCCCCTGTATGTATGCGTAAACTAGGAGTAAAACAAGTCTAGTAATCTGAACGGGGAGGGGGGGGCGAGAATCGAGTACCCGCGCAGGTGTTGCTGGACCGTCTTCGCGAGAAATGAAGTTGATGAGGAATAGAACAGGGAAGGGTAGACCCTGTAACCCTACTTCCCCGATTGCATGCTTGCAGCTTGAACGAACAAAAATCCTGCGACGGCTAGACTACTACAGTAGTGGTGTTACTTGTTCATGGCGATAGCATGCTGTGAGCGAATTACCAAAGGTTTGACGCCTTCTTACTACTTGTAATCTACAGGAACGTGAGCTATCTTGCATCTGCGTAATAGACGTTTAGGCTTTCGGGGGACCTTGTTTTTTGTGTGTTAGTCGTAAAAATGGGTGTAGAATGGGTGGTCGTTCAGTGTTTGTATTTATGTTTCCTGACAGACGCAACTTTCACCGGTAGTTGTGAATATTCACAATTTCCTCCGGCGGTAGAATTGTATTTGTTCCTGCTGTATGGTGGTCATTTTTATGTTCACACAAAACGCTTTCCCCACGCATCGAGAGTCTCCACGTGTGTCGAGAGTATGAGAGCGAACGCAGGCTGACTGCAATACGCTATGTTCAGAGCGCACGAGGGACATGCATGTGGAGACGTATACCCTTACATCAGCGGTCTTTGGGAGAAGGCCGACACGACAGATCCAACAGACCGACAACAGACGATTTGTACACAAACTCGGGACTCGTGTCCCCGCAATACGGAGGGAGGCGTCTTTTCCTTTCATACCCCCCCGGCAGTCCCGAGGATGTGCCAGCCAGGATGTTGGTGCAAAAGTAGTATCTTCGGTGCTGCTGTGCCGTGATCCGCTGTGTCCAACAAAAAAAAGTCACATGTATAGGTTCCGCCCCCTTCGCTTGTTTGGTGAGGTGGCATGCCGGGGTCGCCGCAAGCCGGGAATTGGAATGGTCCAGAGCTTCAGCGCAAAAAAAGCAGGCAAAGCAGGTGGGGGCAGTCCCTTTGGAACTTCACAGAAACCACAGGCGTACTCCACGCTCCACACAAGGGCGTAAGCATTTCTCAGGCAATGCTTGTGAAATACGAAACTACTGCTTCGTGCAGCGCCTACAGCAATAGTCTACACAGTGTCGTCAACTACAATGGCGCCTTGGCCAGCCTAGCGTGTGAGAGTATATCCGTTGTCTTGCTCACTCACATGCACATAGACCACGTTCGTTCACCCAGACAACAAGCTGTAATCTAAAGCACTATGTGACCCAAGTACAGAGGGAGTTCTAATACGAAGGTTCCCAGTCGAGGATTCTTAGAACCTTCATTGAACGAGATAGCACGTGGCACACGCCGGTGCATGGATGAAAGGCACTGAAAATTGTCTGAATTGGCCTCATGACATGTAGAGTTGGAAGACAGGGTTCAAGTTGAATATGCAACTGAAAGTACAAGCAGTGACAGCGTACATTCGACTACAATACTGCGGCTGTATCTCGAACGGAAGTCTTTATGTGTTTGTTTCGTATGTTTTCTAAAACGTGAGCACTGGCACCTATTTACTAGTGCGGGATGAGCTTCTAATTACCTGCTATGAGTACTTTCAAGCCCGTGAACGAGTTCACAGCATTCCAAGTCTAGAAAAATCTACCACCTCGACGGCGTTGGTCGCTTTCGATTAACTTTGTGTAGGATACCCGGAAGCTTGGGTCGAAACGGCTGAGAAAAAGCTCAAGGGCTCCAAAGTCGAGTCGCTGGAACGCCACACTCCAGAGGGGATCACGCTCAGGCCTCTCTACTGTGCGGCCGATTTGGAACGATGTGAGGCGGTGGCTGACCCCGAACAGGATGCTCCAGGGCTATTTCCCTACCACAGAGGACCATACGCTACCATGTACACCGCTCGACCGTGGACTGTGCGGCAGTATGCCGGGTTCAGCACTGCCGAGGAGTCCAACGCGTTCTACAGGCGAAACCTAGCCGCCGGTGAGACAAAGCTAACAAGGTGGTTCTCCCAATGGTTGGTTGCTTTGTGCATTCAAACAAGCACCGTGTGACTCCCTTGGTCTTCAAAGACTTTCGCAACCTTTGTGTATTGCCAATCCCTGCAGCAGGTTATAGTCTCGGTGTGACACCGTATTGACACAGTCAAACTGTTGAAGTGTTAGCGAGAGCTAGAAGGGAAGGGGGTTGCTTAACCCTTGTCGGCGGTCAAAGTAAGCATATTGTGCCGAAGAGGATTCTTGTTTGTGGCCTGGAATTAGCCCCTCATTTGCTGCTGTTGATGTTGCTGTTGTGTTCTTCATATCTACCATTCAATCTGGCGCAACCGTTGTACTATTCCTTACTCTTCAAGGTAAAGCACGAATTTCGGTAGACACAAGCTAATCCCCCCAAACAAGGGGTATAAAAATAGACCAGATCCAGAGAAAGTCCCACCACATGCGAAAAGGCGAACGCTCCTAGAAGAAAGGCGACAAGCAGCGTGTAGGACGACAGACGCTGCAAAAGGAAGTAGGCCATCGCACCAGCTCGGATACTTGAGGAATCTCAAACAAAACTTATTTCATAGAAGTGCCACTGCAAAAAACAAATAACATGGAGGAGCTACATGGATCTATGCACCCTTGTAAACGCGCGTAGTGCTCATCGTTCCGTTGTCTTCTCGCAGGGCAACAGGGACTGAGTGTCGCGTTCGATCTCGCGACGCACAGAGGCTACGATTCCGATCATCCTCGTGTAACGGGTGACGTGGGCATGGCTGGTGTACCCATCGACTCCATAGAGGACATGAAGGTGGGGCATCATGTGCCCAATTTTTCTCGCGCTTGGTGGTCGTCGATAGCTACATATCCACCACCAAGGCAGACCGACGTGCATACTCAGCATGTCGACGCAATGTGTTTTCAGAGATGGTGTGGCGTAGTGTGCGTTTCGTCTTCGGCCTCCGTTTGTGAACACGGAGTTAGCCTCTCAAGTAGGTTTGTACCGTTTTGGGTTCACTCGTATTTCATGCCCTTCGCCACAGCAGCAAAGCGCACCTTGTCTTTGTGCCGGTATTGGGAGGTGTTGATGCAGTACCCCATCTCTCTCTCGTGCGACATCCGTCAGCAGACGGCCCCCATTTCCCGTCATGTCGCTCGTTACTTCTACCTATAGTCACATTCTCTTGCTGTGCCGCAACTCAGATCCTCTTCGACGGCATTCCCTTGGACAAAATGTCCGTGTCAATGACGATGAATGGCGCCGTGTTGCCAGTGCTCGCAATGTGAGTTTTCAGCGATTGTACGTCTTAACGGTGACTTGTTGATAGGATGATAGGATGATAGGATGATAGGATGATAGGATGATAGGATGAGCGTTCTGCATAGAAAAGTTCTATTGATGAGACCTGACTCATGCGTAAAACGCTCGTCATTGTTCTCGATGCTCCATGCATAACAGGTCGTAGCGAACAAGCAGAATATTGCACAGGATCGATGATATCAATACGACCAAGACGTTACGGATATGCAGGTGCCAGTGCTTGGTGAACCCATTGTTGGTGGTACACTTCAGGGTGTCATTTCGCTGACCCTGCTTGAACACCTCAGGTATGTGGCGGCAGCCGAAGAGCAAGGCGTAGAGCAGCATCTCCTGGAGGGCACCATCCAAAACGACGTCCTAAAGGAGTTCATGGTGCGCAACACCTTCATCTATCCACCGGAACCGTCCATGCGAATCATTGGAGACATATTCGGATACACATCTGAGCATATGCCCAAGTACAACAGGTGTGTCACGGTTGGATTTGCTCTTTGCATTGCCTGGCGATATGGCGATCAATCACTTGGACTGAAATGGTGTATGCCAACACACCTCTGCGCGTTCAAATAACGGTTCTCCGTCTGGTGAACGTGGCCATCTAGACCGTCCGGCGCTGGCGGGCAAAAGGGTAATGGAAACGAAACCCCTTCCTCTTGACACGCCGCGCCGCGTAGCATCAGTGTAAGCGGCTACCACATGCAAGAAGCCGGGGCAGACGGAAAGCTGGAACTGGCATTCACCATTGCCGACGGTCTGGAATACCTCCAAATCGCAAAGGACGCTGGATTGGACGTGGACAAGGTGACCACAGTGTTTCATGTTTGCCTGCTTTCTTGCGGGGCTTGAATAGTAAGTGTCTTTGATGTGGTCCACTGATGTATGAGGAAAGCCATACTTTATGCCTGCGTGCCGAGAAGTGTGCTTGCGGGCTTTTTCTGCATCCTGAATGCTGTGGTTGAGTTTTATTCTGGCTTGGGGGAGATAGACGTCTCGACTTCCGTGCACAATTTTCACCCATTTCCCACCCCCTGTTGGATGTGGCTTAGGTGGCTCCCCGGCTGTCCTTCTTTTTCTGCATCGGAATGAGTTTTTACCTCGAAGTGGCCAAGCTCCGTGCCGCTCGGGTGCTATGGGCGCGCTTAGTGAAGGAGCGCTTCCAGCCCAAGAACCCGAAGTCGTTGCTCCTCCGAACCCACTGCCAAACCAGCGGATACTCCCTTACAGGTATCACGCGTGCCGGGAGTATATTTTCGAGCCGCCGAGTCGCCCTCAACTGCTGCGTTCTTGGTTTCATGTCTCCATTCACCCCTGTCAGGCCGTACCGACCGGTTGACAGCATCTCGTGTGTTTAAGGCATTGGAGACCATCGTTGGGCGTGGGCGCGTTGTTTGCGTGTAGGTTTCGAGGTGATACGCTTGAGATGTCTTGTCTTCACATCGAACCGGCCGCTTCTAATGTTGTGTTTGCATGCGATTCCAGAGCAAGACCCGCATAACAACATAATGCGCACGACCGTGGAGGCCATGGCGGCCGTCTTGGGAGGCACTCAGTCCCTCCATACCAACTCGTTCGACGAAGCTCTGGGCCTTCCCACGGAATTCAGCGCTCGTATTGCCCGGAACACTCAGCTCGTGCTTCAGGTACGTGTGAATTGGAAGCGTTTGTTGGAGCTGGCTGGTGTTGCGCCCCAAGATGCAGAGTCAAAACAACCTTCCCGTGGTTGCTATTGTCGACATGAAGACTCGTACCGCTAGCTTCGGTTCACTTGGATCCGTCATTCCCGGTATAATATCGCGTTTTTTTCGAATTGCCCGTGCCCGTCGCCCCTGCGAGCCAGGAGGAAACCCGCATTACTCAAGTGGCGGACCCGTGGGGGGGGTCGTACATGATGGAGAGCCTCACCGAAGACATGGTGCAAGCGGCCAAAGACATCATCAACGAGGTAGGGTGGGTGTGTGTGGTGCATTTTCTGGCCTGGCCAAAAGACATGCCAAGCTGAAAGGAAAGAAGGCAGGGGAAAACGAAAGCGTTGAATGGTTTGTCTATGATCATTCTTCTTGTTGGGCTCTCTACCATGCTTGTGCGTGACGTTGACTCTTTGTTCCAGGTGGACGAAGCTGGTGGGATGACGAAATTCATCGACAGCGGCGCCGCGAAGCTGCGCATTGAAGAGGCGGCAACTAGGGCGCAGGTGGGCTGCAGTATATCCCCGGCTGTGGCTCAGCTTCTGCAGGCAGGATGAGAGGAAGCGTTTGTTGATCAAACTATCCCCCTTGTGGTGCAAAGGGGTTAGAGGTTAGGTGGTTTGTTGCTCCTCGTCATTTTGGGCGCATGGCTCGGTGTCGTGACACGTTAGACTCGAACAACTCCATGTTCTCCATTGTTTTCCTCCGATCGCCTGGCCGTTTGACAGGCACGCATCGACTCTGGACAAGACAAGATCGTGGGAGTCAACTGCCATCGCGTGGAGGGAGAGTGTGAGTCAAGCTTATAGAACGCTGTCTGACCACGTACCAGTACTGGGGTGTGGGTAGTGGGAGCTTGTGCCGGCGTCACCAAAATAACTACTGAACTCTTGTAGAAGGAGCCGAGGCACTCAGAACGAATTTTCCTCGACCTCACTTCCATAGCACCCTGTCTGCTACCGTAGCTAACAGATACCGTATTTGAGGTGCCAACACAGCAGACACGAACGATGACTTGCATGGGGCTCTCGATCCAACCTTGCTTACTTTCGCTTTTCGTTTCTAGTCCGTTGTGCTTTGACTTCCGTCGGCCATCGGCGGTCACTCGAACTGAATCGATTTCAATATTGACCCTGCTTGCCGCTGAATGCCGCCCATGTAGTCAATGGGATTGTTGTGCAAAAGGCGGCCCCGAGATACAGTTGGTATACTTATTCGACTGAGTGCGGTGTATCACATCGAGAGACATGATACTGCACTCGTTGTTGCTGCCCAGCTGCTTAAACCTGTAGTGATGCCTCTCGAGTGTAGTTGCCTCGACTGTGTTGATCATGTCCACTGCTGTACTTGTGATATATTGCTGCTCCGCAGCTGGTGTCGAGGTGCGCTCGGTCGACAACACGGCCGTCAGGGAGCAGCAGGTCCAGCGCTTGCGTAAGGTTCGTCTCCATACAACAATATGTGTTTGTCGCATTCACTGCTGTCGGCGCGTTGGTGGTAAGCTCTTGGCCATAACGAGGAGAACAAGAGCGCAACACAAAACACATATTTACTTCATCTTCTTGTATTTGCTCCGCCCCTGGCACCTGGCATGTTTTCGTCAGTTGAAAGCAGACCGCGATGACAATCGCGTTGACGCTGCCCTCGCTGCTCTGCGGGCTAGTGCGGCCAGCACGGAGGTCACTAGCGACGGCAAACATCCGATGAACTTGGTTAAGCTCAGCATCGACGCTGCGAAAGCAAGGTGTGTCAGGGAAAAAGTTGCCCTGCCAGGTGCTGCACTACTGTCTTACTCGAACCGGAGGATGCATATTCTCATACAGGGTACTATCCGATCTACTGCTGTATGTACTGCAGGTGCACTCTCGGCGAGATTTCATCTGCCCTTGAAGAGTCTTGGGGTCGCCACAGACCGTCGACGGCCGTGGTGCGCGGTGCTTACAGCGCTAGCTTCGACGAACCCGACAAGGTGAGGTTCGGTATCGGCTTGATCCAAGAGCTAGGGTTTTGTCTTAGATATACAGTGTAGGTTAGCGCTTCTTTTTTTGTTTTGGGATGAGTGGGGGTTTCCTGGTTTGTTACCATAAAGGAAGTCTTCAAGCTCCCCGCACGGGACAGATGATTGATACTTTCGTTCCATTGCCGTTCGTCGGCCCCGTGGCCTGGTGAATTGGTATTTATTTGTGTTCACGGTCGGTTTTCAGTCTCACTCGTTGCGCTTCTACGACGAACAACGCCGAGACGCGCACCTCGTGTTCTAATCGATTTTTCAAAACCTCTTGAATCGAACGTAGTGGTTCGGGCCCTAAAGCACGCTCGCGTCATACATTCCTCCGCCGTACTTCATGCTCGCTGGGAGCCTCAGGAGGCGGAGTACAAGGGAGTGCTGGAGCGAGTGGAGGCCTTCGCCGAGGAAGCAGGGCGAAGACCCCGTATCCTGGTGCGTTCGAATCCAACAATGCACGTGTGCGCGTAACCGTGGGTGCTTGGTTTGATGACCCTCCCCTGGGCCGTGTTATCCCCTTCCCAAATGTCACACACACCCCCACGCATGCGCGACCCCCCCTTTCCCCGCCCCCGCCAAACAGATTGTTTTTTGAACGAGAACCTTCTGCCATGTTTTTTGTTCAGCACAGTGAACAACGAACCTGAGGTGTTGCCCTCCTGTCTGTCTGTCTGTCTGTCTGTCTGTCTGTCTGTCTGTCTTTCTCTCTGTGTGTCTCGTTTTTGGGTGGCATCCAGGTGGCGAAAATGGGGCAAGACGGACATGATCGTGGCGGAAAAGTGATCGCAAGCTCCTTCTCCGATCTAGGATACGACGTCGACGTCGGCCCCCTTTTTCAGGTGAAGTAATGCCTTACAGATAGCCACGTGTTGGTGTGGTGACATGTATGCTCGCACGCTGCATACTGAGATATACACCACGCTCGTCTTGTCTTTTGAGCCGTTAACGTTAACCCAACCCACATTGCAACTTGCCGGTCGATACTCCGATTCCATCACCACTTCCTTCCGGTACCCCTGTCCTTCCTCCTCACAGACACCAGAGGAGGTAGCCCAGCAGGCGGTCGATAGTGACGTTCACGGTGAGTGGGGGAGTCCATCACTTGTTTCGAAATTCGTCACACCTGTTCTCCATGAACTCGTTGCTCTGCGGTACTTTATGTAGCCGTGCGAAAACCGTACGTTCCTTGGGGCAGGTTTTCGTTTCGCCTCTCAAGCTTGGTTTTAAGGCGTATGCTCTTATTGTGATAGCAACTCGACGAGTATCGTCGCGTTGCCTGTCTGAAGCTTTCCAGTTTTTAGCGGTTAAATAAAATCGAGGGCGCACGCCGCGACATGCTCGGCAACCGATCACGACAAGGAGTTCTGTACACAGAGTAGATGACATGGGATATCACACCCCCTGAACAATTTTTCTTTTCAAAGCTCGATAACTCCACAGCAGAAAGCGTGGCCGAGCGGCGTTGGAACCGATAGCTTTCCGAAACAACCCTATCGTTTGACATCCTCGTCGTCGTGAACTAACATTGTTACATAGCTGTGACTATTGATGATGCGATATATTATGTCACCTACTGCAGGTACATGCATGAGAAGAAGGAGTACCCTCTAAACTCCAGTACTTGAATTGAACCCTTTTATTACCCATCCATGAAAAAGTCGTTTCATACACTTAACGTGCTGCAAGAACTCCATGGACGAACCCAGCAGATCGTTGTTGCTGTCTTCACAATTAATTACAACACGATTCGTTCTGTTCCTTCTTACCACCTTCTTCGTCTGTCTGTACCATTATGGATCCTCCGCTCGCCTCAATACGCTACGAGGTAGTAACCATATGGACAAAAAGCAAAAAAAGCGAAAGAATATTAAGAGACGACCCACGCGCACCCGAAAAAAACGTCAGTCTTCGACTGGCACTTCTCACTACGCCCATCCATGCGCATGCACTTTTGTTGTGGCGAGGGACTCCATGCTTTCAAGAATGCCCCCAATCATCTCGTTGATCTGTTTCTTTCGTTGGCACACATGAAGTACGCACGTCACACCCGAATGAAAAGGAGACCACACCAGAACGCGCTCTCCGCACGCTGGGAAAGAATCCGGGACTAAATAAATGCGGACCCCAGAAGATGCACTTTTCACAGTAGGTTTCCTCTCCGAAACGAAAGAGCCGGACGGGAGAGCGGGAAAAAAGTAGAGGCGTAGCACGCGTTCCCCGTCAGGCCCGTCAGGGACATTTCGTAAGAGTCGTATCGTAGTGGTGGCAGGAACCTCTCTCTGCGATCAGGTGAGAAGGCCACCAGTCCTTGGGGCTCTTCTGTTGCACCCACCCATGAACGCAGCAGTAGTAGCGCATGTCCTGTGGTGGGCAACTACTGCTGAAAATATTGGAGACCACGATTCATACCGACAGGTGGGTTGTGGGTGGGCGGGGGACCCTAAGAAACAGTCAGACACAGCCAGTTTACATTCTCACAGTCTATTGCAAGCAAGAACGAAGGGCGATAGAAAAAGAGACCGCCAGCGACAGGAAACAAAGAAGTAGAGGAGAGCAGAGCTAAGAAACAAGTGAAGAAATAAGGTATCCTTGCCGCTTTGACCCACCGGAAGCTTTCCATGTACTGCAGTAAACAGGAGGGGCAGCACCCACTACCCCACATCCAGTAGCCGGGTACACGGACTGGTACGTAGTAGAGTTGTAGTCTCTTTTGTTGATTGGTCCCAAGCCCAGTGCTGCTGTACAAGCACGGCTGACCCAGTTGACAGGATTGGATAGATGGTTAAGTCGTTTTATTAGGTCGTCCCACGTAGACAAGCGCACAGAAGAGAGTGGCAGCGGGGGGCAAGCTCCCGTGCCGCACACCAGTAACCAGTTGCAATAAATCCACCGCCGCAAGGATGCATCCATAACTCGGAACACATCACAGCTTGCTAAAGGTACGCAGGGATTACCCCGAAGATCCGCACCCGCTGGGCGGTCGATTGCAGTCGCACAATCCCATAGCTCCAAACCACATACTTCCTCTGTATCATAAGTTAGGGTACCTAAATTCTAACGGGCCCTTAACCGTGTCCGATCTGTTTTCCGATTTTTTTGTTGAAATCTTCGGAGTTTTTTTCACACTAAAATCAAGACACTTGCGGGACAAAAAGAAGGGTTGGTTGGTGGCGGGGAAAAAAAAGAAAAAAGTCGACTATTCTTCCTCGTCATCACTTGGACTCGATGCCGCCCAGGCGTAAGCCTTGTTCAAAGCCTCCTGATCGCATTTTACCACCCTCTCTAACGTTCCCTCCCTCTGCCGCTTGCTCATCCCGGTGTGTTGCACACTAAAATCGTTATCGCCTATCTTACGAAGTGTTTGGTTGGAAACCTTGAAAAGACTTTGCCACACCCGTTCCAACGTCTCCCCGTCGTACTCCTCGTACTGCTCGAAAATAGTCTTCACCAACTCGTCTATCGAACACGCGTTCATCCCCCACACCCTTGACTTGAGAGATGCGAAGAAGCCCAGGTCGTTAATGTTTAAATCAGGCGACTGGGCAGGCTGAGTCACAAGCTCTACCAACCACCCCCGCCCTATCCCCGCCGAGTTGAGAATCTCTGGATTCCCTTTGCCCGTGTGGGGGCTCGCGCCATCCTGCTGCACTACCACGCGCTTTGAACGTAGCCAAGGCATCTTCTCCTCGATCGCAGGCAGAAATACGTCGATGTACCAGTCCTTGTACCACTCCGCGTCGATGGTGCAGTCGAACTCGTACTCTTCGCCCCTCTTCCTCTTCTTGGACGATCGCTGGGCGGTTTTGACGACACAAATCCGCCAGATGCCGATCTTGCCGTCGAAGTCATGGGCAGGGTCCGGGCGAGCGTTTGCCACAATGACCATGATCTTTGGAAGGTGGCTCTTGTGTTGAACGCGAGGGGCCCCCGGGACATCCTCGCCTGGGAACACTCGAACTTTCTCTTTCTCCCTCATGAGGTAAAACCAACTCTCGTCAAGGTGGACGACGTTTCCCTGGTCGAGGTACTCCCCGATCGTCTCGTCCACCCGATCGGAGATGAAGTCGATTCGGTGCCTCTTCTGGGCGTCGGAAAGGGACGGCTTGATGCGTCGAGCCTTCTTGGCCGCCCCTAACTCGCTGAACCACCGCCTCACGGTGTCCTTACCGAACTCCAGCCCGAGATCGGTCAGCTGGTCGGACACCTGCCGGAGGGTGAATGACCGATTCTGGCTGTTGACTTTCTTGAGCGCCGCAATCTTTGAAGGGGTGAGAAGCGACGGCCGCCCACTTCGCTTCTCGTTTGAAAGGTCCAGCTCCTGGGTGTTGTCGATCTGGGTTTTGACCCGTTTCCACAACTTGGACGGGTACTTCTTTCCAACACCGTAGCGTTCGCAGATCGGGTCAAGCACGCCCTTGGGAATCCTTGACAACCCCGGCTGAATGCCCATCGCAATTTCTACCGCCATTGC